TTACCGAACATTCGGTGCATCCCTAATTAAAACAGCATTTTATTTCAGCCACCAGTTACCAAAGCAACATTTCTCATTTTAATTTAATAACTTGAATTAAAAAGAAACCTAAAAACTATATAGACATTATAAAAACAAAAAAATAAATAAATAAATGAAAATTAGGGGAACTTTTTTTTTTCTAAAACTTTAACAGGAAGTAAAAAGTCGTCAAATTACATGTCAGTGATACTAAAATAACACTTTTTCAAATATTTATAATGAATTTTTAAGAAAACATTAAATAATACATTCAGTTTTCATTCACCCTGTTTTCATTTGTGAAAGACAAAGAGAAAAAAACATTCAGATGTTCAAAAAAACAGGGACTAAATGTATAAAGTGCAATAAAACTAGTTCTTATGAAGCCACGCATTGCTTTGTGTGATAGACTGCAATTCACTAAAAAATTTTGATATCAATAGAAGTAGCAATGTCAGCTGGGTGAGAATTTTTTTTATTATTATTTAATAATCTAATCTGTGAATTGGTTGATCCAGTTCACAGAATCAAACTGAATGATTTGTTTATGAATCGGAATCATGGATCTGGTTGAACTCAAAGAGGTTGCAGCAGTTAAAAGCTTGCTGGAAAGAAAATGTTCAGTGAAAAATGACTAATATTTCCACCCGTTCAACACAAAAAAATGTATAGGCTTCAAAAGACCTGAAATATTGATTCATGTGGACTATTTTAATGATGCTTTCATGTCATTTTTGAAGCTTGAATGCTTCAGTCCGGTTCATTGTAATTTCATGGAAAAGAGCATGGAAATCAGACATCACATGTTCTCTTTTGTGTTCCATGGAAAAAAACAACAACATGAGGGTGAGTAAATGATGACTGGATTTACATTTTAGGCGAACTATTCTTTTAATGCACTGCAGTTTAACTGATTTGCATTTTTTTTAAATTCTACATGATTTCATTTTACAGCTTCATATAACAAACGCCAAATGCAAGATGCAAGTGCTACGCTACAAAAAAAAAGTGTTTACGAACGATTCTGATGTTGTGCAAGAGAGAAACGACAGGTGAAACTCAAACTAAGCTTATTTAATTATCACTTCAAGACTAAACAGCCCTGGGACAGCTGTTCAAAGGTGTTTTTCCCTGCTCACCGGTCAGCAGGGGTTTCGCAGACTCAGGTTACGGACACACAAAAGCTCCGTCTGAGTTCTCACACTCTTTCTGTTTAACTTGGAGCGGACAATCACGTCTTTGTAATATGACAGCAGCGAACAAACCCAGCAAACCAAGCCCTGACCAGACGAATGCTGTCATTCATACCTTGAGTCACACCAAAACAAACAATCGCAATGAAATATCGAACCGGCTCACGACAACGTGAATACAGTAACACATATCCTGGGAAATACAGTACTGTATTGCCCCTGATCAAGTGTTGGGTCACGCTACCCAAGGCGGACCGATTCGGAAAATAGCCGTGTCAGATTTGTAATATCGTGGTCTACGTGAGAACAACTGCCTTAAAAATATTTTCCAGCTGATTAGCGTCACCAGCCGGGCAGACAATTATGAAAGCGCAATGCAGGACTTTTGAAAATAACCTTAACCCCGTAGGAAAATAGTAGGAGCCTGCGTCATTTTTTTTTTTTTCAGGAGGGCAAAACAAACTAGCTTACAGTTGATCTGCATTGGAATGCAAGCAGGAATAAAGCTTATTTTATTATATCATTGCTAGTTTTTTTTATTTAAGTCTAGAGTCGGCAGGAGGTAAATCAGATGAAAACGGTCTTATAAGAAAAATCATACAGATTTAATATATAATTGCATCTTTTGCTAATAATGTCAACCTGTTTAAAGAAAAAAAATTATTACATACGTGAGCAGCTCAAAATTTACAAATGGCATTCTATCTTCACTGTATTACTAAAGGATGCTGAAACATCAGTCAACACAGATAGAGAAAGAACTACAAAGATAAGTCTTTCTTCGCTGTAATCTGCACCGATTTGTTGGCCTCTGGCATTATGCTTTAATCACACTACAAAAACAAAGGCAAAGTTGCCAATTTAAAGCTTGCAAGCACTGGTTGCACCAAGTCAGTGCTTTGTTCCTCTAAGAAATCTGACTCCTTGATGGCTTTACAACACTGATCTGACCTAAATCCAGCTGACCTCTGGAAACAAGCACACACACCAACCACAACAGCTCAAAGATTCGAGGTTTATAAACAAATGATTGTGCCATTCGTCTGAAAACAAATTGACAAAAAAAAAATTTGAGACAAAGTTAGGTGCTATTTCTAAATTGATATGAATTTCCCTAGTCATTTTTGTGATAATTTAACTCGCCACAGGAAAAAATTATACATAAAAAAATTATACCTAAAATTTCCAGTATGAAATTTCCTTCAATATAGTTTATAATTAATAATGTAATTTTTATCATTTGTTTTCATGTTTTAGATATATATAAAATAGCTAGATAGAGAAGACAGATCCCACCTCTTGTCTGTGCGTGTTCAACGTTCGCGAAACAGTCTGAATGAACAATATAATGGCGTTAATTGGAAGACTAATTTAAAAAAAGAAAGTAAACAACTCACACACTTAGATATGACCACTTTATCACATAAAAATAAAATGGCTTGAAAACATGATCTGTGGGAGTTTTATTGAGTAATCAGCTCTAATTTAGTGAATTTTAAAGTAAATCTGTGTCTGTGAACAATATTTACCGAGCTTTGATGACTGATGATCTGAAAATAGTTCAAATTTAATTTAATATATATTATTAAAATATATATAAAATATTAAAAAGAATAGAACATAAGTTCCCAAATAAAATATATAGTTTAAATTATTACTGCCTTGAGTTATTATTTTGGAATAAATGTAAAATGCTTAAAAACACTAACTTGATGAGATTCATACTTGGCTTTAATAAACAGAATATTGATTACATTGTTAATGTAAATATAAAAATACAAAACAGAATTGAATTGTTTTTTTTCTCTCTCTCTCTGATAGTGCAAGTAATGTTTATTTAAACAAGAAAATGTGACTGGGAAATGAATTTACATTTGATAAAAAACACACACTGTATATATACAGTATTTATAACTATTAAATTAGCTATTATATATGTGTTTGCATAGAGAGAATATAAAATGAAAAAAAGATATACATATAGAATAAAACGACAATTTTAACCTAGATAGATAGATAGATAGTTAGTTAGTCAGTCAGACTTATGTCTTAAAGCGAAATATCGATGTAACATATTGTGTATATATATATATATATATATATATACACGGATATATATTAGGGCTTCAACACTTTTGTTTTTGCCCCCATTTTTCATGAGCTGAACTC